GAATAGAAAGATACCCCGCAGGGAAAGTCCCCAGAATCAACAAGTTACTGACAGTGCTCTAGACTTACGTTTACTTATTTTAAAATTGAGAATGAAATCAATGCCCAGAAACAGGGCATGTTTTGGACACTAGCCCAGTGCACGTGTGCTGTCTGAAGAGTAGTGTGACTTCAGTGTTACGCGGTAGATACAGGGTTATTCTGAGGCCACATTTTCCTTCATTCACCTATCAAGCACAAAAAGGTGTCATTTCAAAATATAACCAGTTTCTGCATTCCATAAAAGAAAAAAAAATCCAATCATTTAAAAAGCCTTTAGAACAAGACAAATGAAACCAAGAAGCTACTGCCTGAAGAAATTACCAAATCATGATTCTGCACTTAGAGTATCCTCACACTTCTAAACTTTCACTACACCATTTACATGTTTCTCTCGATTTATGCGGTACGTGCATTCCCGGAGACCGGTGCATGAATCGAATTTGCGGAAGGCAAACCCACTTTATAACGTAACAAATAGGGACAGGTTCCCATGGCGGTGAGGGAGGGGGTGGGGTGCCGCTCCCGGGGCTGCACACGGGAGCAAAGCAGAGGGGACAGAGCGGCACTCACCCCAGCCCTGGCTGCAGCGGCCCCAGGAGCGGCCGGCACCAGCTGCCTGCAGCCGCTGGGCTGCACCATGCTCCGCCTGTCCCCCACGCCTGGGCTCCGCTTGTCTGCACTCACCTCCGCTCCTGGGCTGTGCCGTGCCCTGGTGCAGGCAGCTGGCGCCGGCTGCTCCCGGGGCCGCTCCAGCACGGGCTGGGGTGAGTGCCGCGCCGCGCACTGCCCGGGGCTCCGTTTGTCCACACTCACCCCAGCCCGTGCTGGAGCGGCCCCGGGAGCAGCCGGCACCAGCTGCCTGCACCAGGGCACGGCGCAGCCCAGGAGCAGAGGTGAGCGCGGACAAGCAGAGCCCAGGTGCCGGGGGGACAGGCGGAGCATGGTGCAGCCCAGCAGCTGCAGACAGCTGGCGCAGGGCCAGTGCAGCCGGGGCTGGGCTGAGTGGGATGGAGGGCAGGGATGGAGTGGGCAGGTGAGGCAGGTGAGTGGGGCCAGACTTACCTGCTTGGGTGGGGAGGACGTGTATGCTGATCACGTGAGAGAGAATTTACCTCGCATATAACGAATTATGGGTCTAAATATGCTCATCACATAAGAGCGAATTCGCATATAAAGAACCTGCATAAATCGAGGAAAACCTGTACTCAGGTTTTAGAAAGTTGTTTCTGCGGAGAGAAGCGCCATCTTGTGTGCGAAGAGCATATTGCAGACATTCTCTCCCTTTTAGCAATGCTATGCAACTCTCCATTGTCATTACAAGTTTTTTAAAATCCTTTTTCAGCCAGACATGTACCTTTCCTCTGCTTGATATGTTTGTACTCTAAATGCTTCCATTTGCAACTAAGTGACTGTGTTGTCAGCTGCGTGTATCCAATCAGAGTCATGCCATTAACATTTGCTTTCAGCTCCGTGTTCCCATGCTTTTCCACTCTTATTCCCTTTCTTTTTACTTGCACCTTTTCTCTCTCCCTGATTTTTACTTACAAGTTTTCTCTCTCTTCCTCCTCCTCTCTCTGCCTGTATCTCTTGCAGTCCTGCTTTACAGTCTTTCCAACTTCTATCAATTTTAGTTTTATGTTGCTACCCATTGCCATCATATATGAGCACCTGCCATGTACCCTTCTACGGAAGATACATTATGCTAGATTTAATGCAGTAATGATACGCATTCTGTTAGGGTTCTCTAAATATTGTCTTATGTTGGAACCCACATCCCTCCTTTCCCCTATTTCTGCTCCCTTAGTTGTTGCTATTATATGTTGTATTTTAACTACCATGTAAGGTTGGATCCTGTAAAGAGATCCTTGAAGATGTAAACCTTTTTGCTCATTCCAAATCCTACTGAAGTGAAACAAACTAAGGACCTCCCTTTAGTGATGGTCCATTTGTTAGATGAGAAGCTAAGGGTCAAGTTTTGCTGACACATATGCATGTATTTGTTGAAATGAACAATCTCATTCCTTCAGTGGAACCACTGGGAAGTTATGTGGGTAATGTATAAATGGACCAGAACTGAAGGCCTTGGTTCAAATGTATAAAGGATCAGAACCAAAGGCCCTGATTCTGCAAAGTTTTATGTTTATGAGCAGTCTAACTTGAGTCAAAAGAACTGCTCTCATGTGGAGAATTAAACTATTAAATTATAGTTAAGAATCAAATTATATTTACCTATAAGGTTATGAGTTATTTGGGACAATTAATATACTCAGAATAACTATCTATAACTCATCACAGAACTGGAACTTGGTTTTGCATGTTTTAACTTATACAAGCTCTTAGAACCAACATTTTTAAAAATGAATAAATTCATCTTCTAATTATATACAGATGAACTGTGTGAAGCTGATTGAAATGCATCATTAAATAGTAATGCAATAATATTCCTTAGTTTAAAAGAAAATATGCTTAAAAACATGCTCAATCAAATTAAGTACCATTTTTCAGACAACTGGAAGAAGTAGGATGTTAAATGACAACAAGCATGCATGTTTTTCATGTTTATATTGGATATTAGCTTGCCTTGTGGCTATAAATTCAGATAAATATAATAGTTTTGATTCATAAACATATGTCAGATGATAGATCAGGAAAGTTTGCTGCATGAAAACAAACACAAACAGGCAATTTTTTCTCTGCTCTCATTATGCCTCTTTTAGCTCATATTAGAAATAACAGAAACTCTCTCAATAACTCCAAAGGAAATGGATTGGGATATAAAAAATGTTATGTGCTTTATTTATATCTCTAAAACATTTAAATGCCTGGATACTGTAGCAATAATTTATGAGTTAACTTTAAAATAAACCACAAAGAAACTGGATGCCAAAAGTTAGGTTCCTAAAACTTTTAAGTCAGAAGTCTAAATAAGTGTCCTGATTTTCAGAAGTGATGAGCATTCACAAATCCCACTGAAGTTTATGGGAACTATGCTCAGCATTTTTTAAAAGGAGTGGCTTCAACATGGATTTGGAAACTTAACTTTTGGTAGCCAAGAACTTGAAACTTTTGACTCCTGTCTCTTAAATCTTTTCTAATGCTATTCCTTTGGGGTAGTAGTTATTTGAACTACTGTTAAACAGCTCTGTATCAAGATCTTCAGTATTCATGGAGCTAAAATTGAGTCTGTGCCTTATATGGCATGTAATAGTCTTGTAAACTACAAAGACTACCTTGCTGCAGAATTTTTTTGTGCACAGGAGCGCACCGCACCTATAAACACTGCCCCAACTGGCTGGGACACAGGGGGCTTCAGTGTGGGGCTAGCAGGCACGCAGCTTTGGCACTGAAGCACCCTCATGCCCCAGCCAGCTGCTCTGCAGCATGTTGAGCCTGGGGGAGCAGCCAGCCCAGGTCTGGTGTCTGAGGCACGAAGATGCTTCAGCATGGAGGCTGTCTGCTGGCTAGCCCCATACTGAAGCACCCTTGTGCCTCAGCCAGCCCCCCTGCTGCATGTGGAGCCCAGTCGGAGCAGCCCTGGGTTGGCAGGCTGACCCCCTGAGTCAGCTGGGTCAGCTGCTCCGACCAGGTTTTGTGTGTTGTGCACAAAAAATCTCTAGAGCAATAAACCGTGAAATTTAATTGCACATGTAGATGCTCCCATTGTGTGTAGCAAATATGAAAATACCACATGTAATAAATAATTGTTTTTTCTCTTAAACATGCCAATAAATGACTTATCCAAAACTGGCTGATAGGGTAGCTAATAAGACATAATTAAACATATTAATCTGAAGTCAAGTAGAAGACAGGGTATATTTACACCTTTTAGACTAACCAAAGGATTTGGGGTGGGGGGTGTCCATCCATCTACACATTACACCTAAGGTGTGATTAACTAGTTAATCACATCTTAAGTTGTCACCTGGCCACATGTTCAGTCAATTAATGGCATGATGAAAGAAGCCCCCAAATTGTTCCCCAAAATATGTGTAATAACTGTGTGGCTCCTTCCTATGATATCACTAATTGAACAGGTATCCAGGGGCCCCTGAGCTGGGACACCTGCCAGCTGATCAGGGCTCCCAGCCAAGGGCCCATGTGCACCGGAACCTGGGAGCTCACAGGTGACATGTGCTCCCAGCTGTGTTAGCACGTGCCCTGCAGTTGCAGGACCACAACTAATGTGGTCTTTAGCAGTAGAGGTGCTCCAAGCACTCCTGGGGCTAGGAGCTTGCATCAGTTGTGATCTCCAGCATCAGTTGTGCAGTGTTGCAGGACCGCACGGCATGTCCTCAGTGAAGGGGGCTCCCACTTACTTGTCCCTGCAGGGGGAGCCTACGATTGTAATCCCAGGAGGGGTGCCCCTGCACCAGCAATAAAGCATGATAGGATCTAATTCATTATCCCACAATCACACCTCTTGTCATTAAACATGTGGTATGGCAGGAAGCATGATTGTGTGCATGGCGCATGCGATCCCACCATGCCTTTACCTGCACATCTAGAGGGGCCTTACGTGTACATATATACACACATAAATATGTATGTGTATATGTACATATGTGTTGTACACTTATGAATATATATTTATATACCAATAAACTAAGCAAAGTAGAGATATACAGCATAAACTTTCCTGAGCTGAAACCCACTTCACCAGCTCAGGAAAGCTTGTGCTCTATGATTATATATCATATAATATATTCAATATGATAGATAGATATATATAGATCTATCTATCTATCTATATTCAAAGCCTCTTTTCCTCTTCGCTTCCCTGCAGCCCCCCTTCCCCCGAGTCCGGCGAAGAAGGAGTTAAATGAGGGCCCAGGGCAGATCGAGAGTTGTAGCGAGCCACCGCGCACATGCGCAGAGTGGAGCTGAACCCAGGACTGGCCTCGCGCCCCAGTGCGGGGCTGGAGAGTCGCTGGTCCACGGAGGGCGCCTGCGCGCGGCGCACAGGTTAGGGGCGGGGCCATGGCTCTGCCCCCACGTCACGACGTTGGCTGCGGCTTCCTTGCGGCCTTTGTGCCTTGCGGGCAGTTCGGGGGGGAGGAGCCCAGGGTGTGGTTTTGGTCGGCCGCTCGCTAGGGGTAACCTCTCTGCCCCCCCCCAACGAGTAATCTCCGGGCCAACCGACACCTTTCCCGCAGAGTACGGGCACCCGCGCGGAGGGAGCAGGCTTCCGGTAGCAGCGACCGGTGCGTGTTGCGGCCCGTAGGTCGCCATGGGCTTTATCTTCTCCAAATCCATGAGCGACACGCTGAAGAGCCAGCAGGAGCTCGCGCTCGTCAACTCGCGGCTTCAGGTAGCTGGGCCTGGGGGTTGGGGCAGAGGCGGCGCTAACATTATTTGTCTCCTAGCCAATCAGGGGCCCGTGCTGCTTGTGGCACGTGGAGCAAAGGAGGGACGTGGCAGATGGGGGAGGGTGCATGGGCTTGGAGCAGCCGTTGGACCAGGTCCTGGCCCCTTCTGCAGCCTGGGGAGGCTAGCAACTCTGGGCTACAAATATTAACTATTTGCATGTATGTTAAATATGCATTCTAGTTCTCTTCCCCCTTCCTGCCTCCAATAGCGTCTCAAAAAAACAATTTTTCAGGTGTGGCGATCCCACAGGTAATGGCTATCTCAGCCTATGTTCCTCCTCCTCTCCCTTGCTGAGTCCTTGAAGACAAAAGGGTGGGTAGCCTGAGGCCCGTTGGTTCTCCAGCCCCTCATCCCTTTCCAGGAGGGGTTTGGGTAATAGGAGTAGGGAAGACAGCCGGTGATGGGCCGGCTCTGAGTCCGTGACCTCCACATGTGGTGGGATGAAATTACTGCTGGCGCGGCTGCCTGGTCTGTTATTGACTGCTTCTTGGGTTTATCTGTTTGCAGGGGGTTACATTTGACGTTCTGCATCTTTCAGAAAATGGCACATGAGCTGTTTTGCAATTAAAGGCTTGTTAAGCGTTGATTGAGGAACCTCATGTTGGCTGAAATTGACGCTAGGTTTCATGTTTTAGTTTTGGTTGGGCGGGATCGCGCCCTTTAGCTGAGCACTAAAGAATTGTGTTCGGAGATCATCGCAGCACTGGAAATGCTATGAGAAGGAGAGCATGAAGAAAGAAAGCCATGCATTTTTATTGTAGCAAAATTTTAGATTAGATTAGCTATAATCTGCCTAAAGCAGTGGTTCTTAACCTTTTCAGACTCAATGTGCCCATAACTTGAAGAACTGAGCGGCACTGCATTTACAAACTAGTTTAGTTTATTCCAGTGCTTGCCTCCTTGTTGAAGAGCCAGGAGAGCCTGAGCCTGCCTATCTCCTAACGCTTCTTGTGCCACCCTCCAACGGATCTTGTGGTTCCTTGGCATGTCCTTATACCCTGGCTGAGAATCGCTACTCTAAAGGCAATGAGTAATTTACAGATTTCTCTTGTATATGCTGGGCCAAATCATTTTACTTCCCGCAGTGCCCTAAAACTGTAAATGCAAGGCCACATTTTACATGTACTCTTGCATTTCCATTTTTTCTGCCCTAGACACTGTTGTCTTATAATAGGAAAGTGTAACAGATGATGTTCCTGAAAAGGGAAGTATAGCTGGTTTATTGCATCTTTTGATGGAAATTTTATATAGTCTGAAGATGGAGCTGATAATGTTTGTTAGTCTATAATTGGTCAGAAGGTAGGTCAGGGTCGTCACTTAGACACTAACTAGTTGATAGGGATTGTAACTGGAAAGAGTTGGAGCAGGTTTTTAGTTTATTTCCTTATAATAACTTCAGATACCCCCAGTTCCTCAAATCTTATTTTATGGAATATATATTTTTTTCTTTTGCTTATGTTCTGAGTCAGGACATGGAAAGCAGAAAAATGTGTGAAAACAAAATGCAAACAGACAAGCTTAGAAGAATCTTCATCATTCTGCAGCTACGTGAAGTGCTGTAACAACCGATATCCACAGGTGTTTTTTCGGAGGGAGCACATGCACCACTTACCTTATCTTCCTCTGGAAAATTTTTGGCTGCCTTTAATATCTAGGAAGCCTTTTTCTAATGAATGTATCGTATATGCCCAGTAAGATTCAAAGAGCATCAGTACATTTTTGGTTTTAAACATGGGTGTGACCCAGCAGTGCTGCTAACCTTTTTTTTTTTTTTCTTTGATACAGCTCTAAACCAGTGTTTCTCACTGAACCCATGGATTGCAATCCAAAAGTGGGTCACAAGAATATATGAGAGGGTTGTGGACAAACTTTAAAAATAGATCAACACAATTTAACAATGGATTCTCCTTTAAAGGAGAAAAACGTTGGAAACCATGGTTTTTCCCTTGCAAGATGGCGGAGTTCCAGCTGCAAGGGGCTACTTGGGGGGGCCCCTCTTTCCCATACATACCCACCCCCTGCCCCACACACTGAGGGTGCTGGGGGGAGGGGGGTCAGGAGTGAGGGGCACTGGGTCGAGATTGGTCATCAAAGTTTACAAATGGGTCCTGGTAGAAAAACGGTTGAAAACCACTACTCTAAACCAATGGTCACCAACCAGTGGATCGAGATCCACCGGTAGATCTTGGAGCCTCTTGTGGTAGATATCGGAGCTTCTTGGAGTCAATTGAGGCTGGGGTGAGGGGGCTGAGTGGTTATGTGCACCCCAGTCCAGCAGGTCAGTCTGTTGGGGAGGGAAGGGGTGGGGATCAAGGCCCCCGCGGTGAGGGACAGTGCCGCAGAGGCAGAAGCGGGTAAGTTGAGTGGGGCCCTGGCTGAGTGGGACTTACCTGCTGGGGAGGCACACCCCCGCACAATTTTTTCTCCCTCTCCCTTGATCTGTCCTCCCCCCCCCCGGTTCCTCTGTACAGACTTGCCTGCTGGGCAGGGGGAGGAGAGGTAGTGGTGCACGGTAGATCTTGGGTTGCTTTTAAATACCAAAGATGATCTTCCACTTAAAGGTTGGAGACCACTGCTCCAAACAGTAGCTTGGTATGCTCCATGACTGGGGGTAGTGTGTAGCCAAGAGGAAAGTCACCCCTCATTGCTTTTCTGAAATGCTAGACCTACCAACAGTATTGATGTAGCACTGTTCTGAAAAGAGCTGATAACAACTTGATCTGAACCAGGAGAGTTCATGGAGAAATGTTGTAGATGTCTCCATCGGAGCAGGCAGTATATTTTTTCCCTCTCTCTCTCTGCCTGAAAGATATTGAAATCAATTAGTCGATGTAAGTTCTTTAGCAGGGACTGTTGCAGCGGATGTCACATTTGCCTGCAGTAATATAAGCATACTGATTTCATAACTCATGGCCCATGGAGCATATGCAACCTGTGAGGGGTACAGTTGCAGCCTCCAGGCTCCTGCCCAGCTACCACACTGGCTGTAACGTCAGTTGGAGTTACCAGGTTCCCCTTCCCTCTTTTGGCTTTTGCTGCCTGCTCCTGACCCAGGGGGTGGAGCAGTGCAGTGCAGTGCAGCACAACTTAGAGCTGAGTGCGAGTTTAGGGCCATGCAGGCCATGTAGTATGGGGGGAGGGTCTGCATAATGTGAGAGGCTCTCATGTGGTGCAGCAGGCTGGGGGAAGCTCCTGCACAATGTGGGGGCAGGACGGGGGAGGGTATCATCTATGGGGCATATGGCCAGGAGGCTTGTAGGCCACCCCAGGGCAGCCTGTAGGCATATGGCTCTTGCTGGTGTGACCCACAGGGTGTTCGGCTCCAAGCTGCTTAGGAAATGGACAGCCCTGCTATAAAATTAGTACTCTGGGCCCTGGTCAGGGAAGTGAAATGACTGCATAGTTATATTGGATTATTAGACTTTTCAGCATGAATGTGTTGAGTTAATTTTAAAAGCAGCTATTGGTGAGGGGAAAGAGCCTACATCAGGGCTCACCCAGAAGTTACATATCTGTTGTGCCAAAGCTGGGAAGCTAGACATGCTCTTAGCATCCTTTTAATCTCTACACCAGGGATCGGTAACTTGCAGCCCTTGGACCGGTTCTAGCCACGAATGTGGGGCTTCAGCAGCCTTCAGTGGTAGGGGGATTCAGCTGTGGGTGCTCTTTCCATGCTGCTGCAGGGTCAAGTGCCAGCTGTGTCAGGTTCCTAGCATCTGCCCACCCACTCGCCTCTGACTTGGGGTGAGTCATTCCAAGTGGTGGCTGGAAGAAGATAGAAGTGCTACTAAGAAGCATCATTGTCCACTTCTTCCCACTCAGTGCACATGTCAAGAATTAAAGATTAGGCCAATCTAGCATGGCCCCAAGGTGCATGCCAAATGCACCTGAAACAAAGACCTACAGAGCAGGGTCACCTTAAAACAGTTACATTACCTAACTTCCAGACCCTATTGCACTTGAGAATGAGTGGGCAGGTCATGCTTCTCAGTGGTGCTCCCAGACTCTCTGTAAAAGTAGTGTAAATATACCCTAAATATTCAGAAGGTGTGAGGGGAGGGTGCTGATTCTGGTGAGAACAAACTGAGATGGCGCACAGGCACATCTCTTGGGAGTGTCTGAAAGTAACTGTGGTATAGGTTGTAGGCATGTTGGTCTAAGGACATAGGCAGACAAGGTTCCTTGGGTGAATCTGATATCTTTTATTAGACCAACCCAAATAGTTGGAAAATAATTATTAAGCAAGCTTTCGGGTTCTACTTTTCATTCCATGCAGGAAGAGCACACACCAACTGCTGAAACTTCCTTAGCCTGACAAAGGCGTTTTGAACCCAAAAGCTTGCTTAATAATTATTTTCCAACTATTTGGGTTGGTCTAATACAAGATATCAGATTCACCCAAGGAACCTTGTCTGAAAGTACCTGTGGCCTTTGAGTCTGACAGCCCCATACATAGGTCCTTATTCTTTTAGTTGCTGAATTGCTTTTGTTCTAAATAAAATACATTTTGGTGTTTAGTGACCCAAAATAATTATTACACCTTTTGAAGGGAGTAGAACTGCACTGCCAAACTCAAGCCAGACCTGCTGAGATGGTTGTAATCTGTATGCAGGAGATTGTAGTCCTAAAGCCTGACTCCATCCAAAGGGAGGTGATAGCATGAAGCTGAAGTCTTGAAATGGGATTTGCTCCAAAAGGGAGGTGGGATAAGAAGTGTGGTTAGTGACAGCTGTGAAAGTTACATGCTCATTCCATTGAATACAGTGCCTTATTCAGTGAAGTCCTTTACAGCAATAAAAACAACAAATACGTAGGGTAAAAGATGTCCGTGTTCTTCACTGCTTCCTTTTCAATACTGATAATAAATTACTTAACCACAATGTATAGTTTGCAGATGTCAGTGGGAGAAGGCAGAGGGAGCTAGTAACTACATTTCAATCT